AATATAAAGAGAAATAAAATTTTACAGTGATGAATATATTATTAATAAAACATGAAATTAGATTTCTTTGAGGACTCAACGGAAATGCCAAGATAATTAAATAAAAATAATTAGTATATGAAACAAAGGAGTTTTAAAATGAATAATCAATATTACAGAGGAAATAACAAATACCAAAGAAGATTTAACACAAATGAGTTAGTTCATGGATATGGCTATTTGAAAATAGACAATGGTACAATGATAGGAATAATAAATATTATCATCAAAACTACTATTATCATAATAGAAAATATAAACAATATATTACAATATCATGAATAATTAAAACAGAAAATACAGAGGTCAAATATACTATAAGAAATAAAAAGGATAGGAGAACAAAAAAAAAACGAAAAGACAAAATAATAATAAAAGAATGGAGAAAAGAATTGAAGACATTGAAAAGTTGAAGCAAGAACAAAAAAGAAAATAGGAAATAAAGATGAAGAGAAAGAAATACTAATGTAAAATGAAGAAAAGAGAACAGAAAGACAAAGAAATAATAAGAATAAGAAGTATACATACAATGGAAATATACGAAAAAGAAGAAAACGAAAAGAAATTAAATATGAATTATTTATGATTATGTTTTCATCATGTTGAGAAGTGATTATTTCACTTTATTCTTCATGTTTTATTTTTATTCATTTATTGTTTTTTTTTCAATCATTATCAATTTAAATATTTCATCATTTAAGTTATTATCTGATTTTTATTTTGAAATAAATGAATATTAAAATTCATCATTATTTATATTGTTATTTTATGTTTGATATATCAATAACATTATAATTATTGTTTATCTCATTTATCATCAACATTGTTTAAATAATCTTTATTGATAACACGTCATGTATTCAAATCAAAAGGGGAACCAAAATAAGCAAAGAAATAATGCATCTAAATAAAAAACCCCAAAAAGAAAAGGGCAAAATATTTTGCATCAATAAAATAATAGTTTTTATTATTTTGCTCCTAAAAAAAATAAAAAATAAAAAAGTAAATTAAATATTCATTCCATATTCAATTATATCTGATTATATTTTATATCATTTTATGGTAAATTGTTATGAAATATAAATGATTCAGAAATGATATTTGATTCAATGTAAGTATACATTTTTATTATTATGTTATTAATGTTATTTATGTATTTTATTATTATATTTAGATTTATTTCTATTATTGTATTATATATCATCATATTATCTCTTTATTATTATATTTATCATATTTTATTAGTTTGATATTCTTATTATTTATATTTTATTTTATATATTAATATATTTTTATTTATATTTAATTTATTATATATGAATATATTTCTTTATCTTATTTTCATTTTTATTATATTTTTATATTTTATATCTTCTTTCTCTTTATATTTATTATTATTTTATTTATATTATATTGATTTTATTTATCTTTTTATTTATATATTTTATTTATTATTATATCATTTCATTTCTCTTATTATTTCTTTATCATTTATTATTATTCATTTAATTTTTATATCTTTTATCTATATCATATGAATTTATTATTTATTATTTATTTTATCTTTTCTTATTATTCTTTTATTAATTTATGTTTATTATATTTTATTTTTTTATTTCTTTTTCTATCTTTTTTCTATTATTTTTATTTATTATATATATTTCTTTTTGAATTTATTCTTATTCTATTATTATTTATATTTTTTATTTATTTTATTTATTCGATTGTTTAATAAAAAATATATTCAATTTTATTATTTGTTTATTATTATTATTTATTTTTATTTATATATTAATTTGATTAATATATTTGTATTATATCATTTTTATATTTATTATTATTTATATTTTGTATTATTATTTATTTATTATTATCATTTTTATTTATCATTTTGTATTATATTATTCATTATTTCATGAATTTAATATTTATTATGAAATCATTTATTAATTATTTCATTTTATAATGATATATTATTTAAATTATTTTGTTATATCACATTGATTATTTAATATTTAATGATATAATTTAATGATATAAGATCAATATAATAGATATAAATAAAATGATGAATATTGAAACA